GATTGCATGCAGCTAGCAGATATCTAATTTTAACTTTAATATGTCTTGAGTTATCATTCTTCAATTAATTAATATAAATTTCATGAACATTTAAACCATTAATTATTCACGTTAAAAAGCAAAACATGACACGTTTTTATAAAAATTCCTCTCCTTTAACAATTTATAAAACCATCAGTTTCTGCGTCAACTTTGTGGTTACATAACATTGAAATCCATCATAACCGTGGCTAAAAACCATGATGAAATAGCATTTGTCCTAATAAAGTGCGGCATTGTTAAAAGGTTAATTTATGTTCTCATTAAGAATCTGTTGTGAAATCATTTAAACATTAATCTGAGCTCCCCATAAAGTTTCTAGTTTAAAAGATCAAGATTTTGCACAAATTCTAAAGTTTAAGGCACGATTGTCAAGGAAAATTTGTTTTAATTGCTGTGATAAAATTTAAATAGTGCAACAAAGTATGGGAAATCCTGAAGAAGATAAGAAAGATGCAACAAAACAATGAATGTGTCTGCAAGAAGCCTTCTTCAGCAAACCAACAAGAGTAAAAATAATATAAAATTAATTTAAAGAGGACAGTTGTTTGTTGGCTGTAGAAGGCTTCTTTTCGATAAGTTTGTTTTGTTGCATCCTTTTTTTTTCTTTTTTTAGGTTTCCCCATACTTTTTTTTCACTCATTTCCTTTAACCTTACCTGATTGCAGCCTCTGCCCCTTATTACCATGTGATAAAATTGTTTGATCAAGCTACATTAAAATACTTAAGTCTTTTCAAGGAGATGCAATGACTTCTTTCACCTTAATCAAAACCTAATTGTAAGATAGTCTCAGGGGTCTTCATATTCTATATCACAAATTAACATATCATTTATTGTCTACTTGATTTCATATGATTGCATGAAAAATTCTAACTTTTTGTTCTTCATTTTTTCAAATCAGTTGCCCAGTTTATATTAAATCTCTTGTTTTTTTTGGCATGCAATTTCAATCAGGGCAGTTTTAAAAAAAATAAATAATAAAGGCTCAATGACTTATATATTTATTTACTTGTTGGCCACAATTTAATTGCTTTTGAGAGTTATAAAGGGTAGTAAAATATTCAAGCTTACATCAAATAAAGAATAATTGCAGTATCTATTACAAAATGGGTCCCTCCTGTAAAACTGAAAGTACAAGTTTAACATTAGTTTATACATCTATTTCTATACTCTTGAATAGTTGTTAGAGGGCCTTGTGAAAATAAAAAATATGCCCAAGATCAGTAGACCCAAAATATTAAAAATTAGTGCAGCCATTTTTTTTTTTTAAATCAATAAAAAAATACCCCTTACATGATTAAAATAGCATTTTTGTATATACTTCCACTATGCTGCATTGAATTTTTTTTCTTGAACTAATGCAGAATTTGTTTCCCCTGGTCTTGTTTTCCAGTGATTATCCCAATTTTTAATTAAAGTTTATTAATTGATTTAGGATATTTCAAATCAACAATGTTATCAACTGCTCACTATTTACTATTGTTATATTAATATTTATCAACATATATTTTACTTTATATATTTATACAGTTATTCAGTATCAATTTTAAAAATTGCTCATCTATTAGCCTTCATTATGTGCTGCCAATTTATTCAAATGTCGTAGTTTTCTATTATCATTTATTGAATTATGAAGATTAGATACCATTAAACAACTATCAAAGCAATGGCAAATTGATCCATCTGGACTGTTTCATAGTTTTATTGAGTACTAAGCATAATTATAATTTCATATGAACACAATTTTGTTTTAAATGTATTTTTACTGATGTCACTATTTGTTATAGATTCTGATTTTCCATGACCTGGATGGGTTTAACATATTTATAGTTTAAAGATAGGGTTCAATATATTTTTTAAATTTTTTATTAAAAACAAAATTAATTTCAAACATTGATTAATTAGATTATTGGTGAATATAATTTTATTCCTTAAACAAAATATATGAGTGTATAGAGACAACGCTGATGGCAAAGATTATACACTGTGCAACCTTGGACGTTTCCGAAACTCCTAGTGAATAAAAAAAAAACAGTTTCAGATCAGCATGAATCAAAGCAAGAGCATGCACCCTGGCAGATCTACCTCATACTCATATATACAACAGCAGAGAAAGCAATAACAAACCAGGCTAGACATGACTTTCTTCTGAAGCAAAGACAAAAGTTGGGAAAATGACTTGGACTTGGTATTATTTTATTATAAAGTGGTCAATGATTCTGTGTGCAGACCAACCTGGGGAATTTAACTATCCAAAATGCTTAAAGTGAACGACGTATGTCCCCTCTAAAGGGGGCAGTGCCAAGTATCTCAACGAGATAAAATAATAAGTGATTGAACACGACATAAACTTTGTCTGTTCTTTTGCTATATTGGTTCATATTTTCTAATTTGTTTTCTTGCTGTCTTTAAAGAGAACTAATATTATACCAATGACCTTTACGAAAAAATATAATTTATGAAATAAGAACAATCTGACCAATTTTTATGTCCTTTTATGTATAAAATTATTAAAACTTTTGTTAAATTTTTTTCTTCTTTTTTAATATTTTATTTTCAATGTTTAATCGACCAAAACATTTATTGTACAAAAACATCTAATGCAATTTGCCATACTGTTGAAAATATATTTAAATACCATTTAAGATTCTTTTAAAATGTGATTTATTAAAGTAAGAATCAAAAGTTGTTTAAAATGTTAAAGCTTTTCTGCCAATTTTTGCCACTTTCTCATTTTGCTCTGAAGTTCTAAATTTAAAAAAATTCAATTTATTTCTTGTAAACATATGTTTTACATTATTGAGTCAAATACAAGTCAGAATAACCTAACTTCTTGATAACCAGGGTCCTTGGAGCTGATTTCTAATCTGAATTATGTTATTGAAAAAAAGATACTAAATCTAAATTCAAACAAAATATTAAAAAACTGAGCTAACATTAACATTGGCTCATACTTTATATCCTTGATTTAGGATTCATATTTTAATATTAATAATTTTTTTTTAAATAAGCAAACATGTAAGTTTACATTTTGCTTAGCTCAATTTTGTTTACTTTCTATTTTTCTATGTTCAAAATTTAAAAATGTGTAAATAATGACACTTATATATTTTGTGAGCAGTATATTTTGAAACAAATTATTTAGTTCACATACAATGACTTGCAACAATCAGTATTTTCTCTTTCTAAATATTGCACTTTATTTTTTCAAATCTGAATTTGCTGAACTTTTGCCAATTATTGCAAAGTTAATTAATTATTGAAAAATCTTTATCAGGTCTAAAACTTAAATGGATTTTTTTAAAGAAATTTAAAACACTCTAAATGCATTAAAATCATTTTCACTCAAGTTTTAATATGAAAATAGAGACTCTTAAGCAAATTTTTGTTTTAATTACTGGATTTTTCAAAAGTGTGCATTTTGTTTTGAAAGGCATTCCTCCAGAGAGGACAAATTTTTTTTGATGGGCACCCAATTGGATTTAAAAAAATCCTACACAATCTCTCATTTCACTTTGATACTAACCATAACAGATCAAGAAAGTGCACATGAAACTAATCAAATGAATATTTCACCCCAATAACTATGCTTGCTCTAAAAAGGGCACATGAAAATAAAAGCTTTTCAAAATAACAAACTAGATCCAGATGCTCTCTTCCTGAACAATGTGTGAAGGCAAAGAACAGAGCAATGGCTTGCCCAAGCCATTCCAGGCTTTACCAAGTTGTTAACTTTATAAGCCATATATATCCTTCCAGACTCCTTTTTTAACAAGTTTTTATACAATATTTTTTGTTTCCTAATGACAATTGAAAATCTGAATATTTTCTTAATAAAAAGTATGTGTTAATAACTAAACATCTGTTTTTCTTCATATAAATAATTAAAAAGATATGCTTTTCCTAGGACTGTTTATGTAAGTGATGTTTTTGTCTTCTCTTCTTCTTTATTTTGAGGGTCCACGATCAATGAATTGATCATTCTGGCTCCTATGTTTCAGAGGGGTTTGCGATGTTACTGTGCATGGGTTTCAATGGGATGCTTCACTTGTTGCAAGAGCGACTCAGCAGTGGTGTTATGAACTGGGGGTTGGAATACAGGAGGCAATAGACACAAATGTGTCGAGTGTAGCCGCCTCAACTGTTGCTTTTGGAAGCTTGCAACATAGTTTCTTTTTTTGATTTTTAAGAAAAATCTTTGCAAAAATTAATACATCATTTACAATTGTATTTAAATTAAATTTTTACTGTTGAAATGGCTTGATTTATGTTTTTATTTTCATTGTTAATTTATATCTACATATGAAAACTCCTGGAACACCAATAAAAAAAAGATCCTCGGATAACGCAGGCCAACAAAAAAAACAACAATTTTTTGGTGCCTTGAGTTTTAGATCTGTTTCTAGTCTTATCCACAGCACTGTTTCAAAAAATCGCATCTAATTTAAGGTAATAGCTCTAGTTTTTCAGCTATTGTTAATTCTCTATATATAAGTTATCTTTTGCTTAAACAGGATATCATAAAAAGCATCATTTAAATGGGTAATGTATGTATTTAAACGCATCAAAATTAAAATGTGTGTTTATCTACTTCTTTATTTATAAAATGCACTGACATCAAATGTGCACGGTCAAAGGACAGAATCTACTTTGTGCTGCTTTATTAACTAATGATGCTCAAAATGTTTAGATGGCAAATCATGTTGTATAAGACTACATAAATTTACATTTCCAAAGCTTCCCATTCCCAACCTGATCTGTTAAAAACATTTGCATATAGATTTTATTTTCATCATGTTGGAAAAATATCACACGTTTGTATTTGTAAATAGTGGAACAAGAGGTGATTAGGCTTGAAAAAAAAAAAGAATTAAAGGGGCCTTTTGGATAAATACCTTCTTTAGCAGACAAGACAAGACAAAACAAGAAACAAGTAATTAGAAATGAAAAAACGAAGTTGTTTGAAGATCTCAATGTAATTTTTTTTTTAGAAACAGAAAGCGCTCTTATGAGGAGCTAAAAATAAACCATGTATATGGACTCCTCAAATTGTAGCAAAATTTGTAAGGATCCTCGGCTCCAGTCGACTAAAGCTTGCCTTCAGAATTTAGGAAAAGAATGTGCTTCAGCCCGGAACAAGCATTACATTTCATTGAAGGAAGGAATAGGATTAGCTGCCATTTTTTACCAAAAACAAGAACTTAGTACTTAGTGGTATGCAATGTCATCAGAGAATGATTGGAAGCAATCAGGCTTATCCTCACTTATTGTACTTTGACGCCAATCATGTCTCTTTTCACAGCTTGTCCCTTACTCCGCCCCTCCACGTCCTGACCTATCGCAGTTGACTTTTTGCTCCTCTTTTCTTTCGCTTTTCCCTATTTAATCCCTCCCTCACTTATTTTCTGTCACATTTCTTTTGCTTCCCACGGATACTACGTCCAAGCTAAGTGATATTTCTTATTTTTATTTTTATACCGTTTTTTTCTGTTGTTTTGTTTACTGATGAAGTCTTTCTGCCGACACGTTCGTTGTTGCGTTTCTTTTTTCAGGTTTAACCCTACTCTGTTTTACTCATTTTATACTTCTAAAATATATATTTTAACATTATTATTTTTTTTTTTTTAATTTTAATTTAATAAAATATTTCTCGTCATATTTATCAAATCAAATTTTGTTACCGGTAATGAATTTAAAATAATTATTTTACTTATATCATTCCAAATTTTTTAATGCTCTGTATTAGAATACCGGTACTCTGTAATAGTATTATTTTACATAAAACATCAAAAGTTGTAATGAGAAAAGATAAATCCATTTGCAACTCGCAGCATTAAAAATATATCTGCAACAAAAATGTTTTCACCAAGTTAGAAACTTGTGAGTTCTACGAACTGAAGGTGACGTCAAGTTTTTCACTATACATCACAACCCCCCCCACAAAAAATAATGGTAATGAGCACTTTAATTTGTCAACAAAAATTTAATTTCTGATCATTTCAAAATTCATATTTACATATGCCATCATCTAAAAGATTTAACAGAAATGTAAATCTAGAACCACATACACAAATATTTTATCCCCAGTTTTCAGCATACCAAATTACTTTCAAACATGTTCCTCATCATAGAGCTGTGGTAACAGAATAAATTGTTTAAATTTCAATGTAGTCTAAGAAATAAAATAATCATACACTTAAGAAAGGCGATATTATCTCATTTACTATTCTAAAATTCTCAGACTGTATTATTAGATACAGCTGGCAAAGTCAATTTTTGCTCAAGTCTATTTCTTCTCCTCTGGCTTAGCGGTTGGCTTTTCATTCCCTTCTGATAATCTGTGAGCAGGGAACGTTTCCCATGGTGTGTTGGCTTCAAATTTACGGAACTCCTGGGTTAATTCCAATGGCTCTACAACTACTCTCTTGACCTCATCATCATAGCGCACCTGTAAAAACAAAGACAAGGCATGGAAAAAAACTTCAAAATAATATTAAAGGGTTTTTTCAATAAATATATATATATTAATGAATGGTGGAATTGTATGAGTCCACTATTAACTTTTTGAAAAATCACAATGAAAATAAAGAGGAAATATGGGGTCCATAAAATCAGATTGAATTAATAGTGAGGTGGCGTTCATTGGGGTTTTAAAATTATAATATATTAACAACCCTTGACATGAAATGCACCCGAGACACATACCATGCAGTCAGCTAATAAAGTGGACATTATTTCTCATTATTTTCACTAACTTTGAACAAAAAAAATTCATGTACAAATGAATATATGAGTTTTGGGGAGTCATGCTACAACTGTCTTAAATCCTAATTAGCTTTAGCTTCATTTATTTATTTTATATTTACTTCAACATATCCTGAGAGAGGAAAATCTTTCCTAAATGGATGACCTTCAAAGCCATAGTCTGTAAGAATCCGTCTAAGGTCAGGGTGATTAGCAAAGAACACTCCAAACATGTCCCAGATCTAAAAAAGAATAAACAATTTATACCAAGTAGAACAATTGCTTCCAATCATTCTTTGTTACATTATTCAAAGATTGCTTTCAATCATTCTTTGTGCCTTTGTTTATTTATACCTCATGTTAATTATTTTAATATCCACAATGAAAATTTGTAAAAATCTAAGCCAAATTGAACACATTTTTTAAAGTTTCTGCTTGTGAAATTCTTTTCCATAAATTCCTTCACTTACATAATGAATTTAGTCTCCCTTCTGTAAATTTTTGTTAATTACTAAAATAAAAAGTCATTACAAACCTCTCTTTCATACCAGTTTGCTCCAGGAAACACGGAGCAAGCAGACTCAATAGGCGTTAACTCATCAGTGTAAGTTTTGATACGAATACGAGAGTTAAACTGAAGGGACTGCAACATGTATACAATCTGAGGATGGTTGGATATACAAGGTACATTGGATATACAAGGTGTAACAGAAACCAGCTATGTAACATAAACTTTGACTGACAGTTAATGACTTTACTGTATTGCATAAGATATGAAACTAGCTAGATGACAGATGCAAGTATGCTGTCGATATATATTTCTTCAAACATTATATTGTCACAAATTGACCAAGTCAATACATCAATTTTTCAAATAATAGTCTTCTTGTTTTCCATGACATTTGTATGATCTCTTCTATGTTTATAAGCAAGGCAAATACTCTGAGCACAAACAAATACATGGAAATCAGAGTTACATTTTTCTATCTCTGAATTCAAAGAGCATATAATCAAAAATACACGAGAGAGGTGTTTTCACAAACTATTGTTAAAATATTACTTACTTCAAATCTATTTTCAAGAGTAGGCTTATCCACTCCAGCAATATCAACAATGTTCATAAACTGAGCATTTGTGTGTTCTTTTAGAAAAAATAAAACTGGTACTATCCCATCAGGATGAATCATTATCTGACAGAATTAAAAATATTACAAATTTACAAACACTTTTATATATACCTGGTACCTTAAACTTAAGTCCATAAATAATAACCCTCCTTAAATTTATACCCTCCAATGTAATTTAAAATTGAAAATTAAAACTCAATTCAGTTTAAAATTCTACTATTACAAGTTTTATTTAAGTCCCACCTCCAATTCATCATGAAAAAGTACATGCACTTTCTGCACATATTTAGGCAAGCATTCTGCTACATATGCTCCAAAATCAGTCAGACTTTTCCTTATAAGAGGGTTACGAGTAGCAACTGTGGCTGAAATATATGAACATGCAGTTAATTATTCCATAACCATATTCATACTTTGGCCATACTCATACTGACCATAACCTCATTCATTTTTTAATTATTTAAAAATTTAAGCGTTTACCATATTTAAATTTTTTTAGGAAGTAATAATCACTATCAGTGATCAGATTTTAGTTTTTAAAGAAAAAAGTAAAATAAAATTTGTTTCTTAGTGTGGTAAATTTTGAGTTAACGGTATGGGTTTTGCCAAGAGTTTTCTCACCCTAAGCGCAGTGACGTCACATTGAGGAATCCCAACAATGGACTTAGGGTGAATATATCTATTCTTTGAAGGAACCGAAACATGTGTGTTATAACATTCCTGTTCTTTACTGAGCATTACTTGCGTCATAAACGATACGGTTAATATGAATTATATTGAAATGAAATTTTCCATTAATTTGTATTAAAATTTAAGTTACACGTTTCAAAAGAGAGGAAAAGAGAAACCCACAGTTGCTGATACCCAACATCGGTGAAAAAAAAGACGCCTGCAAAAATTGCTGTATTTTGATTAGTTGAAATCAAAATACCCGTATGTTGAAACTTAGGTAACAGAAGGAAACAAAACTGCTTAAATTGCATTTGGAATGATCTTCTTGGAACTGGGGAGGGGTCTCCCCTCCCCAAGCTTTAAATACCAAAATAAGAAACATAGAAATTCTCTGGGGAGGGGAGACCCCTTCCACAATTTAACAAGAAATATAAAATAAGAAAACAATAACTTGCATTATGTAAATACAAACATCGAAATCTTTTTAGTATGGCACTGTAGATGCCGCTATAGACCGAAATGGACCTGGGGGAACATCCGAGACCTATATACTGTGGAACACATCGTCGGCCTTACCACTAACTCAAAACCAGCCCTGCCTTCGTGTTTAAAATGTAATCCAAATTGTAAATATAGCATATTTTATGCTAACAAAAAATTATTTTAAAATTCATATGCTTGCAATTGTAACTTACGCTGCTTTGTTGTTCCAGTTGTAGAGCTTTGCCTTTTAAGAAAATTCTGATTCTGTTGAAGACCAGACAAAGTATTTAAGCCTGAAAAAAATGTATAACATTTTTAAATGACTTCAAGGGAGAGGAGGTCACAAATTTGTGACGATGACAATGTATTATAATAATAATAATGAGGCTACCTAGATTCAAGATTGTGTCAATTGTGACTCCACGCCCCTGGAGCCTGGAGTGACAATACCCAAATTTGGGTAAAAGTGCAGTTCAGGTGCGTATATTATTTCTTAACGCATTTCGTATTTTAAATTTTTTTTATCATGTAAACTTACGTGTATTCTTTAATAATTAAATCCAGGCAGTTATAGTCAACTAATTCTGAATTATAAGTCGCATCTTTTCTTTGTATTTTACTTCTAAGGAGTCTTTAAACATCCCCCAACCAAAGTGACACAGCCCCATTTGTTTTATTTTTACTTTTACGCTATGCCAGATTTTTAGCCATCTATAAGTTAGTATGCTAAACAAAATTTTCAAACTAAGCATGTTCACAAAAAAGAATGAAATACTAGATTTTTCATTACGCACAAGCCCCCCCACCCTTCTTTTTTTTTCCCTCTCAGAGAGCTCGGAATATAGGGGTTGTCCTTTGAAGTCGGGTGGGGGGGGGGGGAATTAGAAGTGGATCACTGACTAAGGCAGTGGACACACATGTCATCATTGTCCTGGACCTGGTGTGAAGCTGAAACAAGAAAAAGGGGGGGGGGGGCACGAATACGTGCCAATGTGTGATCACGTGTCCACTTAAAAAAATAAATACTTGTGACGTTGCAGAAATGGGAGAAATCGGAATGATAGCGTGGGGTCATTTTGATAGTCATCTCACCCTGAAGGCTGCTAATACGCTGTCCGTGATTGGTCAGCTCTAATTTGAGTACCCCTCCTCTTTTTTCGTATGCAAATGCGCTTATTACTGGTGACTGATTTGCGCTGAGTAAAGTGAGGGCTAGTGATTATTTTTTTTTTATATTATAAGACGGACTCGTTTTGGATTTGCGGTATTGCTGGTTGTAGGATCATTTTGTTTAAAATTGCGGACGACCAAGAAACAATAACTAAAATTGTTGATGCAACAGGCATTTTTAATGGTGCAGCATTTGGTTTATATGCGCACCTTGTGGGGCAACAAATAACGTTAATACAACTGGAATTTCTCCCAAGGCGATCGTAACAATTGCAATGTGGCTTGTAAGCTGAGTTCGTATGTCAAGTATGTGAGCTCCCCATAATTACTGGGATCTGCATATCCCCCGAAACGGGATCTCACCCTTTATAAAGTATTTTTAAAGACAGAAGAGTTATCCTTGATTTACCACAATCGCTCCGTAAAACACTATAGATTCATAAAAATGTACTTTTTTATCTCATAAAATTTGTAAAATTGTTGTTGTATTCCAATAAAAAGATGGAATATAAATATAAATTTTAAAATACTTTTTATAAAGAATTACCATAAGTTTACACGGGAAAATAAGAGATTCAAACAGAAATAATATACGCACCTGAACTGCACTTTTACCCAAATTTGTAACGGCAACGGGCAATGGGGGGTCCAAAATCGGACAATTTACAGCAAAGGAGCTTTATTTCTGATCTTCGACATAATATTATTAGGCTAGTATACATATTAGGCATATAAAACAAACAATAAAATCTCTAATTTTACCATTTTTCCTAGCAAAGGTAGTTGTTACAGGTCTAATTAACCTGCAGATTCTTGATGCCATTTTTTCAAGGAGAATCTGTTGTCGATACTGATTACTGATGTGTGCTATTTACCGCGAAACTAAATAGTATTGAGATAGTTTTATTCAGCTCATCTGTCTTTGCATTTAAATAGACAATTTGATATAAATGAAATGTTTTGAATTAAACTTACATAAAATATCCAAAGCACAATAAATTAAAAATAGTATTTGAAGCAATACAGTAATGAGATGATTAATGCATTAAAAATCAATATGATTATCAGTTGCTTTTTTAATGTATAACTTTTAACAAAATTCATGACTTAATAATTTTATAAGATTAAATTTTACATTTTTCAGATTTCCAAGTATTAAATTTCTATACTTTTCCATTTTTTCTTCCTTTACTGCTTACTTCTTCTAGCTTAAATTTTCACACATTATTAAGTGTGTAAAGATAATTGTCTAAGATAGATTTATAAACTCTTAAATTACTCATTTCAGACTTAAGGGAACATATCTATTCTCTTGGAAATATCAGTGCTTAACGGCTTCTTGAAACGGACCTGCTGATATCTAGTTTACAAAACTGTTTCGACTCATGTAGAACAGTGTTTGATTTATTTCGAATTTTATGTAAATTTACAAATACAGTCCACTTTATGGTTACGGATCTGAAGCTGATCAGATTACACTGTCCCTGCCACCGTTAATTATGAATATAATACTAGAAATTACGAACATTTTCAATTAAAGAATTAAGAAGATTGTTGACAATTCAATAACGATATTGATAACACTTATTATTGGAAATAATCTATCAAGTTTAAAGTAATCAACATTTATTTTAATTTTAAATATTGCTTTATAAGAATTTAAAAACTAAAATAATATATTAAGAATTTAAAATTAAAATAATAAGAAAGATAAACCTAGAATAGTATTTTTATAACGAAATTAAAATTATAAATAATAAATAAAACTCTCTTACGTAAAAGTCTGGCCAAATTAGAACAACAGGAAATAAGCTGAGCTTCAAAATAATCAACAATGGGTATGTACAGTTTTTTTCTTGTGAAAAATGTTCATTGAATTTTAATAAATAAAAGTTAAGTTTTAAAATATTGTTATACCAATTTTATTATAATATTAAAAGGTTAAAATAATTGTACATACTTGACTTAAATTTCCGAAAAGCCGGTAAGGACCTTTTTGAAATGTGTATATTCCGTTAAGGTTTAACCAATTATCGATTATTACAATTTTTAATATTATTAAATATTAATCTAGTCAACTTCATTAAATGTTACCACTGAATTTATGTTTTAGGCCTAGAATACTAATAGGCTAAATTTTAGGATACTATTAATATTGCTAAGGATAGCCATTATTAGTCATTAGGCCCTAAAATGCAGGATGTAGGTAAGCTGTAGACTATACCGGCCGTAGCCGTAGGAGAAATAAGTCAAACTCAAACGCCCTTACTCTCAGTCACTCTGCCTCTAGACTCTAGTCTTCAACTTAAGTAAGACTTAAACTGACTTTCAATTTTAAACCTCTATTTCTTATATAGTTTTAAATCTTAGGTCTAGCCTAGGTCCTACTACTTATAAAGCTAAAGAATATTAATAATGAATTATAATGATTACTTAAAATTACTAATTATCAGTCTGAGTATCCTATAAATTATAATCTATAGGCTATAGGCCTACTAGCCTACTATCTTAACTATTTCAGTATCTGCTATCAATTATAATTTATATAGACAAGTGGTTGGCAAACTCATTAATCAGAAGAGCCAAAAATCAGGAGCAGGACGATTAATTTTTTTTGAGAGCCAAATATCTTTTCAAGAACTATGTTTTTCGGATTGTTGGAGTCAAAACCGATTTGTGGCTGACTGGCCAAGCTGCACTCAAGGCGCTAAAGAGCCACGATTTGCCGACCACTGATATAGACTATAGTTATAGTCTTTCTGTAGGTTGTAGCTACTACTACTACTACAGAGTAAAGTAATGATATATTTATAGGAGTATTTAGTATAGCCTTAAGCCTAAGTAGAAAGTGCCTTGTACCAATGCCAATATAAACATACATACATTATGATACATTAATACATATATCTATATATATTTATATACTAGTAGGCCTTTATTATGTATATATATATTATAAAGGCCTACTAGTATAGCCTTCTGTATAGCAACTACTTTTGGCAGTATGAGTACCAAATATGAATGCACAATACAGGTGAATGTAGACCTACAAAGGCAACTTCCTTGGTTTATTAGGATAATAATTTAGTAGGCTACAGTATGCTGTTAGTAATAATATAATAATAACATAGATTTGATGCTAAAAAATATTTATTTCCATTGCATTATTTATGATTGTACTTATTGTTATATATATTTATATAATAACATTTATAGCCTTATCACCTTGACTTTAATTTGATTCTTACTTAATATTATTAATAAGAATATTAATAAATTTAACTGTAAGTAAAATACTATACAGGTAGCTAATCAATTATTAAGTAATTGCCCTACCTCATTTTCTGTTTCGGGTTGATCCTGAAGTGTCAAAGTGTCCTCGTTTTATAGCCATTTTCATTGTTTCTATAGAATAGTAGTTACTATCCTAGTGTCTCATTTGTATTTACTTAGTTTACATGTTTTAATAATTGTAAAGCGCTTAGAGCTTTATGATAAGCACTATATAAAAATGCCTAAATAAATAAATAAATAATATTGTGGCTGTAAAGCTCAATATGTATAATGCTGTATTACACTAAATGTGTAAGGATAAGGAGCCATCAATAAATGTCATGCTATTTTAGCAGACTTCCCCCCTCCTCCAACATCATAAATGTGTACAACAAATTAAATACTTCTTATAACACGTCTTCACAAATGTATTGACTCCCCCCCCACCCTTTTTTTTTTCTCCCCGACATGTGTCCCTTAGGCTTAAAAACTTAAGTTGTACATTTCATATTCATGTTGTTTCTCACTTTGCAATAGAGCAGCTTAAGCTTGGTTAAACACTAAAAATTTTAAAAATTCAACTAAAGTGTGATCCCATCACCCAAGTGCATCCCAATTTCCCAAAAGCTATCATTTGTAACTTGATTATTGGTTGGCATGCTGTGAAAGAATACTGTGGTACGGCTAGTGTAAGGTGCCTTGAAGGTAATTTGGGTGGAAGGCTGGCTGGGCTTGTCCAAGTATTTTCCTTCCAGTTTTTTTTTCAGTACTTTATTGATAAAGGTAGTTAGACCTTTTATGTAAACCAACAGTTGGTACCAGTGTTTTGGTGCAGGCGATTATTGAAGTGCTCCTGTCTATTTCCAGTTACTATTGAACTTACTTTTTGCAGATCATTTTAGACAGGTGGAAGCTACCAGCAATATTAACAGTTTAAAGTTTTAAGTAATAATCACAAAACCAGTTGTAAAAACTAAGCTTGAAACATTAAGCCGCCATTGAATGTTTTGATTAAATAATTTGGACTTCGGAAACTGTCAGTTACGTGAAGGGCAACAAATTGTACATTTAAACAAATATTTTTTACATGAACACTTTAAGTTAAGGCTATAGACTAGTCTAATGCCCCAACCACAGCCAAAAATCCTGGAGTTCCATTGATATGGTTTGGTATTGTAAAAAAATAATTGTACAAATTTACTGGAGCTTGTAGCAGGCTTCAAAAATCAAGCGCCAGCTAATTCAATGCCCTGGTAGCCACCTCTGTTACACCCACTATCTTTCAATGCCCTAACAGCAACCTCTGTTACACCAGCTGTTTCAATGCCCTGGTAGCCACCTCTGTTACACCCACTCTCTTTCAATGCCCTGATAGCCACCTCTGTTACACCCACTCCCTTTCAATGCCCTGGTAGCCACCTCTGTTACACCCACTCTCTTTCAATAACCTGGTAGCCACCTCTGTTACACCCTCTCTCTATAAATGCCCTAGTAGCAACCTCTGTTACACCAGCTCTGTTTCAATGCCCTTGTAGCCACCTCTGTTACACCCACCCTCTTTCAATGCCTTAGTAGCAACCTGTGTAATACCAACTCTGTTTCAATGCCCTGGTAGCCACCTCTGTTACAGCCACCCTCTTTCAATGCCCTAGTAGCAACCTCTGTTACACCAGCTCTGTTTCGATGCCCTGGTAGCCACCTGTTATTCCAGCTTTGTTTCAATGCCCTGGTAGCCACCTCTGTTACAGCCAATCTCTTTCAATGCCCTAGTAGCAACCTCTGTTACAGCCACTCTCTTTCAATGCCCTAGTAGCAACCTCTGTTATTCCAGCTCTGTTTCGATGCCCTGGTAGCCACCTGTTATTCTAGCTTTGTTTCAATGCCCTGGTAGCCACCTCTAATACAGCCACTCTCTTTCAATGCCCTAGTAGCAACCTCTTTTACGCCAGCTCTATTTCAATGCCCTGGTAGCCACCTCTGTTACAGCCAATCTCTTTGAATGCCATAATAGCAACCTCTGTAACACCAGCTCTGTTTCAATTTCCTGGTAGCCACCTCTGTTATTCCAGCGCTCTTTCACCGCCCTGATTGCCACCTCTGCCACGAAAGCAAAAAGTATTTACTTCAGTTGTTTTTAATCCCTGGGCTGGAACTTGCTACTATACATTAACTTTATTNTATTAGCAATTAGATGTCTTGTATCTCATACTTGAAAAAAACATATCTTCTGGGAAATAATCGGTGACCATGACCCAAAAGAATAATTTCTTTTTTTCTTTCTTAAATCCTTTATACTTTAACACCTCCCCCCCCCGCCATTTACTCGATATTATATTTTATAAATGATTTATACGATAAACTATGTTTTTAGTGGTACTAAGTGCTATTGCATCTCAGTGGGGGCACGTCATTTTAGATTATGAACAAATAAGTCATATTTGTAAGATTAATTTCAAATATGGCTTCTAGTTGGTTTGGAAAAGTTTCTTTTGCTAATACTAAATCCAATGACGAATGGAATTGCAAGGATGGTTTTCAGAAATGAATGATGTTTTTGGCATGCTCATTAACATCAAAACCCTTTCTCAACCTTCTGCTCCGTTAAGTTAGCCAGATAGATTTTGGTGATGATCTCGTGATCTCATGATGATGGCGAGTCTTTTAAACTTTAATGTCCTCCAATTCATTAACCTACCAATGCATAGCTATATATATATATATATACATGTATTAATTTGTAAATTAATTCGTATAAACTATGTTGTTTTTTTAATGTGGAAGTTTTCGCTGTACAGGGTTACTTTGTTGCGCTCCGTACACCCATCGGCATTTAGCACTGATAGTAGCATAGCTATGGATTGTGATCAATGTTTCATTAAGGGCCTGGTGTTTCTAGTGCATCTCCGCCAAAAAGACAGGGTTTTATTGGCGATGTTGGTCATTTTAGAGCAGTAGTGCCTTATAGCATTAGGCATTTATTACAAATTTGAATTATCTTAGAAAAAAAAAC